GAATAGAATTAAAGCACCTTTGTCGACGAACAACACAATGTACATATCATATCCTACATTCAGCTGACTTTTGAGTTTGATTTAAACAACTTGTCTCGCTGTTTGTCGGCACGGCTGTTTCTTTTTCTAAGAATTTTTGTTTTCTCTTAAGTACAGATCTGCACATAGAGTTTTTTAAAACTGCCCACTGTCCATACCTGCACTCTAAACGTTCTATCCCTATTCTAATCTCAGTATGGAAATGCGAAGTTGGTTATGCTACATTCTCTCAGAATACTTCATGCGAAACCCGTACGTATGACACACAAACGTCAATCGTGAAGTAATCTTATAACTTCGCAGGGGTTCACGAATGACATTCCATTTGTCCTGCGGCAACGCAGTGTCAGTTTCATGTCCTTGGCATGTAGCTAAATGTGTGGTTGTTTTCAGACATGCTCAAGAACTGAACGAAAGTAAGGTTCAGCGACTGGCAGATTCAGAGGCCAGGTTAAAAGAAAACAACAAACTTTTGCAGTTGAACAGTCTGTCGATGGAACAGAACCTTCGCAGCAAGTAAGGGAATGATGACAAGAAATCTTTTTGTGACTGCTGACGTTTTGTACGTTAAGGCTTGAAAGTCTTGCCCAAGAGGTGCTGTCCCGCAAAAGAGAAGGAGACGCGAAAGTAGAACAGGTGTTGGAAAAAGCGGAAGACGATAAAAGGCAGTTAGAAGTAGGAAATGTTTATATTTTCTGCTGGCTTTTGCTTGTCTTGTTTCTGAAAGTGCGAAATAAGTCATATTTGTTGGAGAGCAGTCGTCTTTCTGGCCTTTTTACTACTGTCAATTGTATGGAGGGCAGATGCAACTATGGAACTCCACAGCCAATGTTGACAGCTACCGCGAGGCCTTCCATCAAATGTCATTGCTCTTAGCCTAACTACGTGGCCAGGCAGAGCGTTTCACATAACTGATTATGAGAATAAAAATGAAAAAATTGTGATGAAACTCGGCATTAAGTAACGACGTCTCACCCCTCGTGAATATTTAGTTTGAAGCTTCACCGCTATCCTGTTTGTGTTGTACATGGATAGAATAGTCAGGAGCAGCCAAGGCGATGAGAGTATCGATGTAGAAGATGTGG